AAGATGGAGACGGTGTTAATGGTCAGCACGTTTTGTCTGTGTTTGTTTGTGTGTGTGTGTCCGTCTGTCTGTGTTTGTTTGTGTGTGTGTGTGTGTGTGTCCGTCTGTCTGTGTTTGTCTATGTTTGCCTGTGTGTGTGTCCGTCTGTCTGTGTTTGCCTGTGTTTGTCTGTCTGTGTGTATGTGTGTGTGTGTGTGTGTTTGTTTTTGTGTACATATGTTAATGTTTATTTGTCGTGACTATCAAATGTCATCTTATCAGCATGAATCCTTATCTCTCTCATTAGCATAATATGTAATTGCATCTTATTAAAATATTCCAAAATATACATACACGCACACACGCACACACGCACACGCACACACACACACACACACATACAAACACACACTCACACATCCGGGCCATTGAAAAAATTTCAAATATTCAGCTATTTCAATTTCAGACGTGTCCTTATTTATTTATTTATTTTTTTATTACTAGAACGATTTGAATAATTCGCATCGTCGTCATCTTCGTCATCGTCACCATCCTTACGTCATCATCATCACAACCGCCACCACCATCATAATCATCATCATCATCTTACTTATATTGCAGGCTCAGAATGAATATAATTGAATTACAAAAGTGATTTCAAAAGAGAAAAATTTAAATAATAATAATAATTTTTTATTTATTTATAATAATGATGATGATAGTAATAATAATAGAAGTATAATAGAAATAATAATAGATTAGTGAGACGTTTTTGCATCTCATACCCACACCAGATTAAGTTAATGGCAATGATCTGCCTGAACGAACGAACGAACGAACGAACGAACGAACGAACGAACGGACGTATGGATGGATGGATGGATGGATGGATGGATGGATGGATGGATGGATGGATGGATGGATGGATGGATGGATGGATGAACGAACGAACGAATGAACGAATAAATGAACGTATGCATGAATGAATGAATAAATAAATAAACGAGAAACTTATAAATGAATGGAGGTAGTGTGTGCGAATGAATGCAGTGAATTAACTAATAAAAAAAATTGATAAATGAACAAAGCACTGAATGAAGGAATGAAAGAACGAACGTACGAATGAGTGAATGAACAAATGAATCATTCATTCAATCATTAACATAAAACATCTCAATAGGTTCCACACGCACGGTTTCAATTTCTAAAGAGTCATTCGATATTCACATTATATCATATTGCTCTTATTAAAATAATAATAATAATTATAATAATGATAATATTATTATTGTTATTATTTTAATATTATTATTATAAATTTAACAGTTTTGCTTTGAGAGGTATATAATTGATAAAGTTAAGTGTTCTGTGCTAACTACAAAACGCTTGGCTGCTTAAAATCATGTACGTGCGTATGTCTATACAACATAGCATTGTTTTACTGTTCATCTTAATGGTCAAAAAATTTCGCTGATTCCAAATTCTCCTTCATAGTGATGATTTTGTATGCCTGAATCAAATTTCCTCTTCTTCTTTTTCTTTCTAATGTTGTCAATCCACAAACTTTTAACCTGTCTTCATGTGGCACGCTACCTTACCATTCCGATGAATTATTACCCCTAGATCCTTTTCCTCCTCTACATTTTTTAGTGGTGTCTCTCCAAGTTTGAATACGTCTGCCTTGTTGATCGCTCCCATGTGTATGACTGCACATTTGTTAGTATTGAATACCATCTGCCAATCCTCTGCCCATTTGCATATTTTTTGCTGCAAATCGCCTGCACATAATTTAGTGTCATCTGCAAATTTTGAAATTTTAGACTTTATTCTTAGATCAATATCACTGATGTATATTACAAATAGCAACGGTCCTAATACGGATCCTTGAGGAACCCCACTTGTAACATTGCTTCAGTTTTAGAAACTCCCTCCAACACCAACTTTTTGCCGTCTATCTTGTAACCAGTTGGAATCCCATTTGAGTTTGTTTCCTGTGATTCCACTTGTTTCTAATTTAAAGGCCAAACTTTTTTGCGGTACATTATCGAAAGCCTTAGCAAAACACGAGCGGGTATTTTTGAAAAAAAAGGTTTTCCATTAACTTTGTTGTTATTATTATTTATTATTATTATTATTTATTATTATTATTTATTATTATTATTATTTATTATTTTTACAACAATAAACAGGCGGAACATTGAAAATCTACGGCCATTCCATAAAGCCTGACGTGCCGTATAAAACTCTGCTGCTATCCGTGAACGATACAGTTGGACACATCGTGAAAGAAGCGCTAGATAAATACGGATACGAAAAGGAAGATCCGGAGTTGTTTTGTCTCGTTCAGGTTGATTGGTTGGGTGGATGATTAGTTGGTTGGTTGGTTGGCTGGTTGGGTGGATGATTAGTTGGTTGGCTGGCTGGCTGGCTGGTTGGTTGGTTGGCTGGTTGGTTGGTTAGCTGATTGGCTGGCTGACTGCTTAGTTGGTTGATTGGTTTGTTGGATGCTCTGCTGGAATTGAGTTTATTATCTAAAATGATATATAATGATATAGTGATAATGTGATATATAAACGTATATCACTAATTTATGCAAATTTATGCAAATTTATCACATTAATTACACCCTAAATTCAGGTCTTCATACCGCCAGAAAACATGGCGAACAGCGGCAGCAGTGGAGTGGAAGTGAGAGAGAGAGTGATGGATGATGATGAGTGTCCTCTCTCTATATTACTTCAACATCCTCAGTCGAAAGGTGAGTGAGTGAGAGTGAGAATGAGTGAGTGAGTGAGTGAGTGAGTGAGTGAGTGAGTGAGTGAGTGAGCGAGTGATTGATTGATTGAATGAACGAACGATCAATCGATCGAACGAACAAATAATTGATTGAATGAATGAAGCACCAAAAACACAGGCAACAGTGTTTATTTAATTAAACAAAGTCAAATGTTTAATATCAGTTGAGTCTGAATGTAAATCAGAGAGACCTACCAGCCAAACTTACTTAGATAAAAAGAGCAATAAATTTTTTAAACTCCTAGATAACGATAACATAAACGTGAATACGTGTGTGTTTTTGTGTATATATGTATTTTTTATGAGTATCTGTATTACACACACACACACACCACACACAAGCCCAAACACACATGCACGTACAAACACACTCATAATATACAACAACGCGAAAGACAAACAAACTACACCAAAACATAGTAAACATCAATAACTGAAACTTGAAATCTTAAATAATGCATATGTATGTATGTATGTAGGCATGTATGTATATGTGTATGTTTGTATGTATAGTTGTATATATATGTTTTTATGTTTGTACATATGTATGTTTTGTTTGTATTCTATTGAGCTCTAATGAAACTTGACACTTCGCTGTTGTATTGATAGTTTGTGGCTATGAATGTGTGTATGCGTTTGTGTGTGTGTGTGTTTGCGCGCCCGCGTTTGTATTAATGTGTGTTTCGTTCATCCATCCATCTATTCATCTATTCATCCATTCATCCATCCATCCATTCACTCATTCATTTTTTCACTCATTCATTTTTTCACTCATTCATTCACTCATTCAGTTTTTTTTTCATCCGAATCTCTTTTTTTCTCACAAAAGATGAAAATTATTGTCCAATCGAATACATGGCGTTAATGAACGACTGTAAGTCAAACATTACAGAGCATGCTATTATTATTATTATTATTATTACTATAATAATTATTATTATTACTATAATTATTATTTTATTATTATTATTATTGTTGTTGTTGTTGTTGCATGTTAGTGTTATTTTTACATAAAGAGAGTGCATGTTATTATTAGTTTTATTAGTATCTTTTTTAGTAGTAGTAATAGTATCGGTAGTTGCTGTAGTAGTAGCAGTAGTAGTAGTAATAGTAGTAATAGTAGTGGTAGTAGTAGTAGTAGTGATAATAGCTGCAATAAAAGCAGTTGTATCGAAGAATGTTACAACAGTAATGGTAGTAGTAGTAGTAGTAGTGGTAGTAGTAGTGGTAGTAGCAGTAGCTGCAGTTGTTGATTTTTAAACTCGGGAAAAATGATTGAAGTTACATTTTTAAATGACTCCGACTGTCCTGTATTTCGCACATTCTTTTTTAAAAAACCTTTCTCACATTTTGATAACTCATCTTATTATTATTATTATTATTATTTATTATTATTATTATTGTTATTTACTTATTATTATTATTGTTATTATTATCATCTCTACTTATATATTTATTTTATTTTATTTTATTTACGACTAGTCATTCTGCACGGCATGAAAACAATTACACCAGTCATAATTCTAAATTATTATTATTATAATTATTATTATTTATATCACGATTATTATTGTTGTTATTATTATTGTTGTTGTTATTATTATTGTTGTTGTTGTTGTTATTGTTGTTGTTTTGTTGTTGTTGTTGTTGTTATTGTTGTTGTTTTGTTGTTGTTGTTGTTGTTATTGTTGCTATGCTGTTCTACTAGTATATAAAATACGAGGCTTACTGTTTGACAAATTTCGGTGATTTCTTGGCAGCACAATATCTAGTAACTATAATTATACAAACATAAATAACTGCAAATATAGACATAAATAAATAATAATAATATAATATAACAATAATTATAATAATAATAATAAAAATAATAATAATAATAATAATAATGACAGGGACGATAAAATACCACCTAAGACTACGACCCCCAGACGCCCCAAAGAAACGAAAACCCCTACACTCCGTTCAGAATTTTAGTTCTTTGCCTCAAAAATACAACAACAACAGCAACAACAACAACAATTACATTAACAACTACACCAACCACAATTACATTAACAACAACAGCGACGACGACAACAACAACAGAATGCTGAACAACAAACTCTACAATAATAACAACAGTTACGATGGTTACGCTGATTCTTTTTCCAGTACTGATCAACAACAACATCAACAACACCAGTTATTATTGTTAGCACAACAACAACAACAGCAATTAATGTTTGCCCAACAACAACAACAAAAACAACAACAAAACCATGCCTATTTGTTACAAGTCGGCCCAGGTTTGATATATTACGATAATATTATTCCAACAACAATACTAATAATAATTATAATAATTATTATTATTATATTCTTTATAATAGTCTAATAAACGACAATTGCAATGAAATCAACAACATATGAAGATAATAATGTAAGTAATAGCAAGTAAATATCTAGATATATATAATCTTAAACGGAATAAGAGAAAGAAAGAGAGAGAAAGAGAGAGACAGAGAGATAGAGAGACAGAGAAAGAGAGAGAGAGAGAGAGAGAGAGAGAGAGAGAGAGAGAGAGAGAGAAAGAAAGAATCAGTGAATAATAATAATAATATTATTATTATATTAAGTTTAAGTTTTATTATGAGATAATTTTAAACATATTTGAATTGTTGTTGAACTTTTGGTTCGATTAAATATAAGGGACCGTAAGCGAGGTACTTTCTATATTAAACAACTGTAGCTTAGATCTAACTAAACTGCTGAACAATATGTATTGTATCAATCAATCAATCTGGACTATTTCTCTTTTATTCTTTCATTTGTTCATCTTTTCGTTTGTTTGTTCTTTCTTTCTTTCGTTCTTTCGTTCGTTCGTTTGATTATTCTTCAGTTAAGTCGTTCGCTTGTTCACTCTTTCTTTTTATTGATTTTTCATTGCTTCATTCGTTCATTCATTCATTTACTCATTAATTTATTGATATGTTCACAAATTTGTTTTTTCATTTATTTGTTCTTTCATTCATTCGTTCATTCATTCATTTCTTTCGATCTTTCATTCATTTGTTTATTTATTCATTGATTAAGCTAATTACAAGGATTACTCTTTCGAATTTTAAATCGGTCGTTTTCACTTTCTCACGCTTTCTCTCTCTCTCTTTTTCTCTTTCTCTCTCTTTCTAACTCTCTCTCTCCCTCTGTCTATTAGTTTTCATTAATTTAGCTTACTAAGAACACAAAAAGTTACCATCAAAGTTTGACAATATAATAATATAAATTATAACAATAACAACAATAATAATAACAACAATAATAACAATAGTAATAATAATAATAACAATAATTTCGTCACCAGATGGCAGAAAAACCATAAACTCACCAAAATATCCAATTTCCATTGGCATGGTCGAGATTGGCAGCAAGAGACCTCCAATTGTTAATGCACCCTTCATACAGGTATGTGTGTGTGTGCAGGCGTGTGTGGGCATGTGCGTGTCTATGTGTGCGTGTGTGTGTGTGTGTGCGTGCGTGATGTAGATTAAATATTTTAATATAATTTTAACAAGTGTTTTAATTATTTTAATATATAATTTGTTTCCATATTTTCCAGTTCAACACCCCGGACATCTTACCCCAACACTGCACGATAACCAGAACAATGGGCGGAGTCACGTGGATCGCACCGACCAATCAGAACGAAGCGTTGCTATTTATAGAAGGTCAGAGAGTTTTTAACCCAACCCAGTTGCATAATAATGAGGTGGTACAGTTGGGACGGAGTTTGTTTTTCGTGTTTGTGGACGCATCTATGCGAGAGAAAGTTAGTTAGGGGATGGGTGTGTTCTGAAGGTTGCTTTTAATATTGTGGGTGTGGTTTTACTAGGGATGTGCGTGTTTTAGGGATGTGCCGATTTTAGGGATGTGCGTGGTGTTGTGAGGTATTTGTTATCCCTTATCATTCTTTATATTATTTTTGTTCACAGGAACCACCACCGCAACAACAACAACAATACATAAACAACTTGAGAACAGCAAACAACAACAACAGCGTTAGTAACAGTTTAAAAGTAAACAAGAATAATAACAATAGTTTAAAAGTAAACAACAACAGCAAAATGACGTCACCGACATCGAGTTTGTCGCCAAAGTCCTCGAGTATTAAAGATTTTGAGACGACCTTTGACCTCGATGGGCAAGTCCTAACTACGGTCCCCAACAACAACAACAATAATAATAACAACAACAACATCAATAATAATAATAATAATCAGATGTTTTTGTGAGTTATAAATTTTTGATTTTATAGTGAGTGAGTGAGTGAGTGAGAGTGAGAATGAGTGAGTGAGTGAGTGAGTGAGTGAGTGAGTGAGTGAGTAAATGAATAAACGAATGGTTGGTTGGTTGGTTGGTTGATTGTTTAATTAATTGGATGAATTAATTGGATGAATGAATGAATGGGTGAGTGAATGAATGAATGAATTAATGAATGAATGATTGGGAAGGTGAAAAGTTGGGTGGAATAATGAATGAATGAATGAATGAACGAATAAATGAATAAACTTTTAATTTGACAATTAATATCTTTTTCAAATTTTGTTAATGTCGATGATGGTTCGTTACTACAATGATGAAAACAACGACGACACGATGATGATGATTGCATCGATGATGATGATGATGATGACGACGATGATGATGATGATGATAATTATGGTGACGACGACATTAAACAGAACGCCACAGCAGCTACTACAACAATCGTCAGTGGCAGACGTTTTGCCGGCTTCATTTTTTCTCAGAGGCAATGGTTGGTCAGCTCCTTTATATTATTTTTTTGTAAATTTGACGCTAGATAATAATAATAATAGTCATAATAATAATAATAACAATAATAATAACAACAACAACAATAATAATAATAATAACAATAACAATAATAATAATAACAATAATAATAATATTCAGTTGAGGATCTATTCTTGGACTACTGTATGACGAAGATAAACTTCGCCACGATGCAATTCAAGATGTCGCCAGCCTTCACTCTCTACATGCTTGCCAGATCGAAACTACTATCATTACCCCCACCACCACCGTCATCGTCATCATCACCGTTGTCGTCATCGTTATCATCACCATCGTCCACGCTGGCGGTGACGTCATTGAGTGGCGTCGCCAACAAGATGGCTGAATCTATATCCGCTGTTGTTGAGGTTGGTGTGCGAACACACCAACGAACGTCCGTTCATTCATTCATTCATTCATTCATTCATTCATTCATTCATTCATTCATTCATTCATTCATTCATTCATTCATTCATTCATTCATTCATTCATTCATTCATTCATTCATTCATCAATTCATTTATTCATTCATTCATTCATTCAGGCAAACAACAGCAACCCGCCATTGTTATCATTCTGGCTGGCGAACTCTACGGAGCTTCTGAATTTTTTTCAATCCGATCGTCATCAACTCCTCCATCTGGCGACTGAAAGTTCGAGAACCATGCTGATGAATGCAGTGCAGGTTCTGATGATGATTGTGATGATCGTGAATGAATGAATGAATGAGTGAGTGAGTGAGTGAGTGAATGAATGAATGAGTGAGTGAGTGAGTGAGTGAGTGAGTGAGTGAGTGAGTGAGTGAATGAATGAATGAATGAATGAATGAATGAATGAATGAATGAATGAATGAATGAATGAATGAATGAATGAATGAATGAATGAATGAATGAATGAAGGGTGACGATCACGATGACAGTTAATTATTATCACTACAAAAAGATGATGCTGATAACGTTTAAAACTAATAATAATAATTACAATAATAATAATATTAATTATAATAATAATTATAATAATAATAATATTAATTATAATAATAATTATAATAATAATTATAATAATAATTATAATAATAATTATAATAATGACGTCTTCGTCATTCAGTCGTCATTTTCGTTTTTCATTGACTGCCTGCAAGTAGAGCTGGAGCAAACCCTGGTAGCATTTGTTAGTACCCTGTCCGATCAGGATGATTTAGACGGTATGTCTGTCTGTCTGTTTGTCCGTCTGTCTGTCTGTCTGTCCGTCCGTCTGTCTGTCCGTCTGTCTGTCTGTTTATGTGTGTGAATGTATTATTATTTATATAGCGCCTCTTATAGATTAAGTATCTCAAAAGCGTTCTCAAAATGTATGTATGTTGTATTAGTTGTATGCATGTGTGTGTGTGTGTGTGTGTGTGTGTGTGCATGCATGTGTGTGTTTTATTTGTTTGTGTACACTCGTGCGTGTTGTATTTGTTTGTATACGTGTATGAATGCGTATAGGTATGTACAAGTGTATGCGTGTGTGTGTATGTTAGTAGCATACTGGTAATGAAAACAACGACAGTAATGACAACGACAAAAATATACGTATATAGTAACATAATAATAATAATAATAATAATAATAATAATAATAATAATAATAATAATAATAATAATAATGTGAACATATTTTATTTATCCAATCGACACAATGAAACTATAAGATATTAAGATAATAAATTGTAACTAAAATGTTAAAATGAATAGAATAAAATAATCAATAGAATAAAAATGATCAAATGTACGATCCACCCATCCCCATTGCCAATGACAAGTGTATGGGTGTAAGTTATATTTAAAATAGCATTAGGCAATAACACTGATAACAATAACAACAGCTAATAACACTGTTTATTAATTTAAAGTATATAATAATAATAACAATAATAATAATAATAACAACAACAATAATAATAATAATAATGACAGTTGTGGAGGACTTTGTGATCAGGCAGGCAACACCGCGAGTTGGAAATGTGTTGCACGTCCTGACGCTGGCTATGTCGGTACTGAAGAGGTGCAGGGTTAATGCCACCATCACCATCCAGATATTCTCACAGCTCTTCCGCTTCATAAGTGGATGGCTCTTCAACTGCCTCGTCCTTAACCCTCATATGAGGTTCGTGTCGCTGTCTCGTGGGTGTATTTCGGTATTCTAGAGGTGTTGGTTGGTGTTTTTGTGTTGTTTTTTTTGGTATTTTAAGGTGTTTTGTTGGATATCTCTTTGCTTTTGGTTTTGTGCTGTCTCGAAACAATTTCGTTTCATTGGTTGGTGGTTTTTCAATTGCCTAGTCCTTAAATGATCAACACGCATACACAAACACAAACATACAAACACGTATACAAACACGTACAACACATACAAACACGTCCACATACACGCACGCACACGCATGCAGGTTGTGTACCAGTGACTGGGGGCAAAAGCTGCAGATGAGGTTGGGGCATGTTATGGGGTGGGCCGAGAAGCACGGTCTAGAGTTAGCCGCAGAGTGTCACATGGTGAAAATTTTGCAAGTAAGGTTTTGGTTATCATGGTGTTTGTTTGTATGTTTGTTTTTTTGTTTGGGCTGTTTGTTTACGTTTTTGTATCTTAAATATTCGTTAAGTTATGTGCATAAACATCCACAATGAAATCACCATTACAACATCATTTCTACCATCATCATCACCATCATTATCACTATCACCACCATCATCATCATCACCACAACAGCTCTGCAACTTACTAACTTGCAGCAAAAACTCATCGTCGTCATCATCATCATCACCATTATGGAAAGTCGTTAGCACGTCTTGCGACACAATAAATTCACTCCAACTACGTACCATTCTATCCAATTACATTCCGAGCCAAGTTGAACCCCCTCTCAGCGGTGAGCTCATTGAAGAATGCGTTAAGTTTGCTGCCGATAACGTGGACTATACCATTATTAACGAAGGGGTAGATATATCTGTTGACGAGCCCATGGATATAAGGTTGTTGTGCTTTGATTGGGCTGTGTTGTTCTTCATTCGTTCATTCACATTCTTTCAACCATCTTTTTTTATTCATTCAATCAATCAATCACTCGTTCATTTACTCGTTCATTCGCTCACTCCTTCATTCATTCACTCACTCCCTCATTCATTCACTCACTCCTTCATTCATTCACTCACTCCTTCACTCATTCACTCACTCCATCATTCATTCACTCATTCACTCCTCCATTCATTCAAAGGCTGGCCTTCATGTTTCCGGAAGATGGCTTTGCATGCGAAACGACTGTTGGTATTCCGTCAGGTCTCTTGGAGTTTATGGATGGTTTTGTCGGTCAAGGTCACTACTTTTATTATTATTATTATTATTATTATTATTATCATTATCATCATCATCATTATTGCTGTTGTTGTGTAGTTGTTATTATTTTTTTATTGTTGTCAGTTTCCTGGTGAACTACACACGGCCATGTTAGTTAATAACAGAGTGAAAATAAATCGTTAATAATCTCGAAACACACCGTTGTTATTATTATTATTGTTGTTGTTATTATTATTATTATTATTGTTGACGTTTTTCATCATCATCATCATCACAACCACCAGGGCTTGCCACTTACGTCATCAATCCAACAAGTTCCGGTTCCTGGTGCGTTCATATGCAAGTTCAAAAGGTCAGATTTTTTTTTACTTTTTTTGTCTTTTTCATTCATTCTTGCTTTTATCTATTCATTCAATCACTCATTTGTCATTTGTTTGTTTGTTTGTTTGTTTGTTTGTTTGTTTGTTTGTTTGTTTGTTTGTTTGTTTGTTTGTTTGTTTGTTTGTTTGTTTGTTTGTTTGTTTGTTTGTTTGTTTGTTTGTTTGTTTGTTTGTTTGTTTGTTTGTTTGTTTGTTTGTTTGTTTGTTTGTTTGTTTGTTTGTTTGTTTGTTTGTTTGTTTGTTTGTTTGTTTGTTTGTTTGTTTGTTTGTTTGTTTGTTTGTTGGCTTATTCATTCATTTATATATTATTTGATTGATTCATTAATTCACACTCTATTCGTTCATTCATTCACTCTTTCATTCATTCACTCTTTCATTCCTTCACTCTTTCATTCCTTCACTCTTTCGTTTATTCACTCATTCGTTCCTTCTCTCTTCCATTCATTCACTCTTTCATTCATTCACTCTTTCTTTCATTCACTCTTTCATTCAATCTTCACTCTTTAATTTTAAAAAACAAATTCCACCAAACAGGAAAATGACATTCAACAGCAACAGCAGCAGCAGCTAAAACAGCAGCTACATCAGCAGCAGCAGACGTCAGACTTGATTGAAATCTTCCTGAGTAAGTTGAACAACAGTCTCGGCTTGAGTATCGTAGCCGCTAAGGGCGACCAGCAGCAAAGTAAGGGCATCTATATAAAGGCTGTAGTGCAGAACGGAGCAGCTCACAGAGATGGGAGATTGGAGCCTGGCGATCAACTCCTCAATGTTAATGGGACGAGTCTTGTTAACGTTTCTCAGGGAGAGTATGTATCCTGTTGTTTTCTTTCATTTACTCGTTCGTTCGTTCGTTTGTTTGTTCATTCATTAATTCGTACGTACATTTATTTATTCGCTGCTTCACTGGTTCGCTCAATTCTTCGTTCATTCAATTTATCTTGCTATTATTACCCGATATGACTACACCCATTTATTCGTTCATTTATTCATTCTTTCATTCCTTCAAATTTTTTTTTGTTACTATTTTTTGGTTTAATTTTTTAGTTTTTCAGATCCAAACTCATTTCATTACATTAGAAATGACCATTTTTTTCTAATTTTGTTTCATCCCCCTACCAGAGCTGCCCAGATAATGAGCCAAACTGATGATGTCGTTAAGTTGACGGTGCTTAAAAAGGCAGCGCTATATCATGGCCTTGAGGCCCTCGTTTCTAAGGATGAAGGTCAGTTTGGAGTTGTTGATTTGGAGGTTTTTTGGGGTTGTTAGTTAGTTTTGTGGGGATTTTTTTTTATATATGGTGATGTTTGATGATGACGACGACGATGATGATATGATGATAATGATGGTTACACTGATGATGATACTGATGGTTATACTGATGATGACGTCAGTTGTTTCATCACATGTTGAAAGTATTTTTGAATTAATCACACATCGCAGTGTTATATTTTTTTTCGAATCATTACTTTATACAGCACCTGATCTGTCTGCTAACAAACAACAACAACAACAACAACCACAAATAATCATCAACAACAACAGTAACAACAACAGTAACAACAACAGTAACAACAACAGTAACAACATCAACATTTCTCATCAGCGTGATTCATCACTCACTAACTCAATATCGTCAAGTCGAAGTGATTACAATTTCAGGGATGTTTATGCGACCAGAGGCGGTCTAGGCAACAACAACAACAACAATAATAACATTAATAATAACATTAGCAATAACAACACCAACAATGCTAATAGTGTTTTCATTAATAACGCTAACAACTCACAAAGTGTTACTGAATTAAACAATCTTAATAAGTCCAATTACAAATTTGGCCTGAAACACGAATCAAATGTTTTGGCACAAATTAAAAAAAATCCTTCTGACCAATCACAGCAGCCTTTAGATTTAAATCACCCTGCGAATTACAACAACCAATCATTAAACAGCTCAGTAGATAGCCAATCACATTATCAGCCAACTCAATTCAAGCCGCCCTTCAGCGTTCAGGTAAAAAATATCGACCAACAGCGAGAGGGTAACCTTAAATTTGCAAGACCCGCCTCCGCCATGTCAACCAATCAGAACAGGACCCCAGGCTATGCGGCCCAGATGCTCTTTCCAAAAGCTCCTCCAACAGGTATTGCAACCAAGACAACAATCAACATTGACAATAACAACGATAACAGCATCAATCTGAACCAGACGATCAATTTAAATGATGCCCTCAAAGATGGAACTTTGAAGAAAGGCCTCGCCAAAACTACAGTGATTAATTTAAACGAGGTTCAACAACCACAGCAGCAGCAGCTCCAGCAGCAACCACACCAGCAGCAACTGCTTCCGAAATCTGCCAGTTCTGATTTTATTATCGGTAACATTTCATCGAGTTTCGACGATTCGAGACAGCAATACCCTGTTATGGTAGCCAATTCCGGAATTCCAATAAAGAAACAACTCAGCAACAACAACCTTCCAAGCATGAGCAACAACGACAACGTCAACAACTTTAATTTCAGCAACAACACCATCTCCAACAACACTAACCTGTCCCCGGAAAGAGATTTCCCACCTCCACCTCCAGAAACCCAACTGGCTCAGTTGAAAATCACCAGCAACACCAACAACAAACCAACATTCATGGCGACGCTGCCAGCAACAACACTACAAGCGGCAACAACAACGACGACTGCGACGACAAGCGTCACCAAAAAACCGCCCCCTACCGCAAGCAAACCCAAAATAACCCCGGCTGACCTCAAACTGAAATCGCCCTGGGAGAAAGAGCAGAGAGAAAAAGATGAAGAGAATAAAATAAAAATGAAACGAACGGAAGAGATAAAAAGATTGGAAAACAAACCTTACTTGAGCCAGGAGGAACAGACGAAACTGAAGAGACTGATAACTGAGGTGGAGTTTGACGAGAGGCTAAGGAGAACAAAAGAAGAAGAAGATGCCTTTGCTGACACGCTTCAAAGGGTCTGTCAACATCTATACCCTCACACCTTTTATCTTTAACTTCTCTTTAGTTTTTTTATCTATTTTCGTTTATTTTTCAACTTTTAATTACTTTTTTTGTGTTGTTTTAAAAAATTTTGTTTGTTATAGTCATCTTTCAATGATATGCGATTTAGCTCAATCGGTAAAAATGCTATATCTTTCGTGGGGTCCATATATAACGAAATAATTTTATATTGCAATATAAAATATGCTTGAAACATAATTTTTATAATTTAATCATAATTTTAATTTAGTAATAATAATCTATTCAATCATGATTATGAATACGTTTAGACAACGTTCAGCAGAGAAGACACCAGTAGCTCACACTTGCTTCCACAGCGGCCAACGTACATACTACAACAGCCACAACTGCAACCTTATAAGGCAATACAAGATAATGAGGTGGTGAGTTGCTGTTGTTGCGATTGTTGTTGTTGTTGTTTGTTGTTGTTGTTTGTTGTTGTTTGCTGTTGCTGTTGTTGTTGTTTGTTGTTGTTGCTGCTATTACTGTCACTGATACTGTTTAAATTCATAATGATATTATTACTATTTTTGAAATGACACCAAAAGATAGAACAATTTTTGAAAATTGGAAAAAAATTTGACAAAATATTATCCCAAAATATCCAAACAGCCGTACAGCACGCGGTTCCAGAGCACCTCATCCATCAAACTTCAACAACAACAACAACAGCAGCAGTTTAACCCTGCCGACAACATCAACAACATCAGACAACAACAACAACAACAGCAACAACAACAAAACGCTATGAAGAAGACAGTAACATTCAACGAAAACGTGGGAGTTACGGAGTACCCAATCCATAAGTCTTACGGGTCGACCTCGTCTGATGGGTCCCTCATACATAATGTGGCGGATAGGGACTTCCACGATGACCCTTTGTTGGTTTCTTGTTTTTTTTTAATGGCTTTTATATTTAATTTTTTTAATTTCTCTATTTTGTCTTCCATTTGATCTCTTGTAATTTCTTTCGTCCTCCAATTAAGCATGCATCTAGATAGATACGTACATAAGAGCGCGCGCTTTTTATCTTTTTATTGTGTGTGCGCGCGCGCGCGCGTGTATGTGTGTGAATGAGTGAGTGAGTGAGTGAGTGAGTGAGTGAGTGAGTGAGTGAGTGAGTGAGTGAGTGAGTGAGTGAGTGAGTGAGTGAGTGAGTGAGTGAGTGAGTGAGTGAGTGAGTGAGTGAGTGAGTGAGTGAGTGAGTGAGTGAGTGAGTGAGTGAGCGAGCGTATGTGTTTTTCCGTCTGTCTGTTGATGATTTTAGATGATAATAATAATGTTCATAATATCATTAATTTTCGCCTAGCTACCAGCCAAAAAGCGTACCCCAGGCGACCTTTCTACCAAAAATACCCTCCAAGAAAGACATTCTCATCTACGGACCCAACGTAACTTACGAGATCAAGCCCAAAATAACAGCCGAGCCACTACAACCACAACAACCACAGCAACAACGACCTCTCTCCAACAACAACACAATCGAACAACAAGCTAGTTACCCATATCGGCCAATTGGCGGCGACGACAAACAACTATATCAACAAAAACAACAACAACAACAACAATTTTCTTACCCATATCAACCATCAATTGACTTAAGACAACAGCCACAACAACCCCAGCAGCTACAACCACAACAGCTACAACCACAACAGCCACAACCACAACGCCACCTTTACACAAAACAGTACCAGTATAACTCTAGAGAGGATCTAAACAGCGAATCAAGTTATGGAAAGAACGATATCCAGCCTATAAGGAACCCACAAGGACCTTTATACGGTCAGAGAATATATCTATCTAATCTGGCGCAACAAGAAAATCCGTATGCCTCCCGTCCATACAATTAAGGAACTATCAAAGAACCTTTTAATTGTTAGAGGATATACCTATCTAATCTCGATTACCATGAATATTTTTCTTATATAATTAAGGAACTTTTAAGAACCTTTTTATTGTAAGGGAGATAATACCTATCAAACCTCGCGCAATGGGAACATTTCGCATGCATCTTGTCCAAATAATTAAATGATTGATATGTATGTTGATTGGTTGGATTGAGTGATTGATTGAATTATTCATTCTTTCGTCTGTACTCGTTCATCAATTCATCCATCCATTCATTCATCCATTCATTCACTTATTCATTCACTCACTCATTCATTCACTCACTCACTCATTCATTCATTCTTTCTTTTAATCATTCATTCACTCATAGATTTAATCCTATCATTTAGAGATAGATAGATGGATGGATGGATAGATGGATGGATGGATAGATGAATGGATAGATAGATAGATAGATAGATAGATAGATAGATAGATAGATAGATAGATAGATAGATAGATAGATAGATAGATAGATAGATAGATAGATAGATAGATAGATAGATAGATAGATAGATAGATAGATAGATAGATAGATAGATAGATAGATAGATAGATAGATAGATAGATAGATAGATAGATAGATAGATAGATAGATAGATAGATAGATAGATAGATAGATAGATAGATAGATAGATAGATAGATAGATAGATAGATAGATAGATAGATAGATAGATAGATAGATAGATAGATAGATAGATAGATAGATAGATAGATAGATAGATAGATAGATAGATAGATAGATAGATAGATAGATAGATAGATAGATAGATAGATAGATAGATAGATAGATAGATAGATAGATAGATAGATAGATAGATAGATAGATAGATAGATAGATAGATAGATAGATAGATAGATAGATAGATAGATAGATAGATAGATAGATAGATAGATAGATAGATAGATAGATAGATAGATAGATAGATAGATAGATAGATAGTTGATTAATTGACTGATTGATCGATTGATTGATCGATTGATTGATTGATTGATCGATCGATTGATTGATCGATTGATTGGTTGATTAATTAAATAGTTGAATGATATATAGATATATATATATTAATTGATAGATTAATAAACCGTCCAATTTGGAGATTGATATTTTATTTCATTACGCTATACATTAACTTTTACCGATAAAAGATGAATGAATATTTTAAATTAACATTTTAACGTTTTATCCTCTGTCATTTAACTTGTACGTAATATTTTTTGCAAACATGTCACGTATACACATATACACACCTATACACACACCCCCACAGTGTGGGCCACACACACCGGCACACACACACACACACACAAACCGACAAACACAAATAGACATATCAAGATAAAATTAACATAGCGAAATATCCTTTACAGTTCGAATTTTATCTATTCGTCCTATTTTTTATTCATTCATCCATCCGTATATGTATATATATATATATATATATATATATATATATATATATATATATCCATATATATGTGGGGTTATCCTATTTTAAACATTTTTGATATTATATATATATATATTATATATATATAATATATATATATATATGTACGTATAATATTCAAATATTTTATCATTGTGTCATTTGTAACTAACTGTTAGATGTTTCAGCTAATGAAAAATGATTTAAAGAATGAATAAAAATTCCACATAAGGAGTTTAATTGATTGATTGATTGATTAATTGATTGATTAATTGATTGATTGATTAATTGATTGATTAATTGATTGATTGATTGATTGATTGGTTGGTCCTGAATAGAATCTCTCAACTAGACTAGACTAAAACATCAGTCTGCCGAGGTTTTTAAAACAGTCAAAAATTCTACAAAAAATTTTTCTGACGAGATTTTTAACACACAAAAATACATAACCTACGTCTTAATCCCCATAAACAAAAACAAACTCCACAATATTATTATCTTTTTTCATCAACATTCATTATTATTAAACATTCATTATTATTAAACATTCATTATTATTAAACATTCATTATTATTAAACATTCATTATTATTAAACATTCATTATTATTAAACATTCATTATTATTAAACATTCATTATAATTACTGAATACTAGCGTATTATTAATAAGTGCCCGGAATCATAATTAGCATTGTTGAATGAATTATTACAGTACCTTAATCGTTATTGGTTACTTCGTTATCACTATCAATATATCCTTACAACTTCATTAATTATTATAGTAATAATAATAGTTATAATAATAATTATAATATAGTAATAATAATAATTATAATAATAATTAATTATAATATTATATTATAGTAGTAATAATAATAATACAACACATAATAATTTTAAAATATACCAATATTGCTATCAAGGCAAATAAAATTTCACTAAATTTCGATTCCTACTCATCAATGGCCACTCTGAGACGCATTCTCGCTCTAGTATGGAACGACTTGACCGCTACTACAGAAGCCACAACAAACGAGAAATCTTCATCACCATCATCATCATCGTCCTCACCCCAATCATCGTCAGACAGCCACAGCGGTCATAATGGTAGTAGTAGTAACAGCAGTAGTTATCATAAAAAGGATGAAGAGTCAAGTTCACACAGCGGCAGACGACACTCACGTGACTCAGAAGACGAGGACGACTCGAGCGGGCAGCCGTCCATGTTTAAATATTACGTCATCAGGGGGTCCATCCTCATAGTCCTAACCGTACTTACCCTCTACGTATCTCGCCAGATGTACGTATACAATGGGGAGGTATTTCCAACTGTAGAGTGCCTAATTTCACTCTTCAGTCGATGCAATTCACTAATCGTGGAGAGCTGGCTTGCCGGATTTCTGTGGCAGACGTGTGATAACTACTGCCATCTATGCAGGGGCAGTTCGTTTGGGGTCTGCTCCACAAGTTCCATCAAGCAGTGCTACGACGACAAGCATTGGAGCAGGCAGTGTGTCTGTTACGGATCACAAGGATTGAGGAAAGGATATTGGGAGTGCTGGAGTTGATCTGGATTGAGGGACTACCGAGAATTGCATTTTATTTGTTTTCAAAATCAAAAGCAACAAATTTGATTTTAGTTTTTTTAGCATGTAAATAAAAAAATGTATCGAATTTTGTATTTGTATGTTATTATTGTTAGTGTGGGGAGCCAGTGAACTTAGCAACGTTAGAGAGTTTTTCTTCTTTTTTCTTCTTTTTCATCATTTTTTTCTCTTCCTCTTCTTTAGCGAGCTTAATTTGCTCAAAACGTGGATCATTGGGATCAATTTGGTATCCGAAATAATCTCGAGCCTCATCCAGAAGAACTTGCCTCTTCTTTTTTAATTGTAATTCCTGTTCTTCGGCTTTTTTCAACCTAGCTCGATATTCTTTGATGTACTGCGGCATCTTTGCCAGTCGAGACTCAACAAGTTTCTCTCTGAAAATAAAAAAAATTATTTTTTAATTTTTATAATTTATGTAGAAATTTTGGAGATTTAAATTTATATGATTAGAATAGTAAGTTGTTGGCACTTATATTTATTATATTAATGGATTAATTGCTAATATCTTAAATATATAACTAATTTTTTATTTAATTAATATATTTATTAACTGCATGCCATATATTCAATTTAATTATTGTTGTATTAATTAATTATAAATTACACTAACTTCTCTTTAATTTCTTTCATTTCTAATTCTCTTTCCTCCCTCAACTTAGCCAACATATCCTGCAAAGATGGCTCCCACTCTTTCTCAAACTCAATAATATCTTTCAGCTCTTCCACAGACGGCCATAATATTCCAGGATTTATTCCGCTCTTTTTACCATACCAAGCGTACAATAACTTTTTCAGAGCTGGCTTTTGATACATGGCTGTGATATAATCCGGTTTTACCTCGTTTGGATCGGGAGTAAGGACGTGTAACATTCTATCGCGATATCGCTTGGGCATGCGCGAAACGTTCATTAGGTTTTCTATCTCCTCTTCTGATAAATTATAATTGCCATCAACACGTACGTTTTCACTAATTTCACTTGTGTTTATTGTATTTGCATCTGTAGTATTAGCTGCATTGGCAGACGATGAATACCGTGATGAAGTTGAAATAGGATGAAAATTTAATTTTGAAAATGATGCTGGTTTGTTGAAACAACGATGATTCCAAAGTCTACGTAACATCACGACAAAGGTTATCAATAATATATTGTCAAATAATTTCAAAAATTTTAATTATTTTACATTAAGATTCTACTTTATAACTGTAAAAACGGATTTTTTAATTCGCCGATCGGTCTTTTAATTTTCTAAGTGAATACTTGAATTATCGCTAGGCGATATAAACAATGGAACACAAATTTCTATCCAAATAGTCGAGGTGAAGTCATTTATCTATTATATTCGAATTTTCAAATAAATCTCACCCATAATACTTCGATTTTATGTTTTAATGTATCTAAGGATATTAAAGGATATTTAAAATTTGTTAAATCTAACGTGAATTCACATTAAAATGCTATATTTGTATATCACACTTTTACATTAAAAATCTGGTAGTTTTATCAAACATTTAAAAACAGTTTACTAATAATTTCATAAATTGTAAATTAAACAAATATATTTTAACAATATAAATTATTACTTAAATAAATAATTGTAATTATATAAAACAATAAATAAAGTATTTATTTGGCCAGCCTTGAAAGAAGGCACCAAATTTTAAAGTTTAAAATTTAAAAAAAGCTTGTTTACATGAACAGCTGACCGTAAAAATAATTAATTTATAAAAATATAAATTAATTGATTTAATAAATAACTATGTACAAATAAATAATAATATAATTTATTATATTATACAAACAAATAGTTAAAAATAAACAAATAAATTTTATAATATAAAATATTATTCATATATTCATTAATATCCAATCCAACCATTATATTAATTATAATAATTATTAAATTATTTATATTATATAACAGAATAATACGTAAAAACTAAAAGTCAAAAGAAATAATAAATAAAATAAATCAGTATTTATTAAATAAATAATAAAAAATGCTGTTTTATTTGAGAGATAGAGATTCAGCTATTGAAATTTTGGATCCCTTGGTTAAAAACTTGAAGAAATTTATTTGCTGTGCTAAAGCTAGCAGAGGTCGTTTTAATTATTAATTAAATTAAAAATTGTTTTATTATTTCTAATCATATAAATTAATTTACTTTTCATCGTTTTCATTCAAATTGTTTTCGTTTTTCCAACCAAGGGCTTTGGAATGCTAAAGTTAAAAAACACCCCTTTTAAATTAAATTTTCAAGAGGCACCAAACTTGTTAAACTTATTAATAAAATTTAGTCATTTATCAATTAATAACTATATTTAATGGTAATTTAATCATAATTAAAACTTTGGTATTTTAAAAATTTTATCAAAGCAGAGGAAAAAATAGACGAAGAGGGTAAATGTAACAGATGCACGCTGTACGTGTTCAGCAATAAATTCATACAACGACATCAATCACCAAACAACAATAATAATAATAGCAATAATAATAATAATGTGGTCATAAGCACATTAATGAATTATATGATAGAGATGTATAGATTATATCAGCTACATGCAAATGAACAGGAGACCATTGTTAGTAACACTCAGCAAATTGTTATTATACAGATTGTATTGGTTAGTTTGTTGGAGTTTTTGTCTGTCTGTATGTATGTATGTTTGTTTGTTTGTTTGTCTGTCTGTCTGTGTAAGGTTTGTTTGTCTGTGCTTGTCTCTGTCTGTCTGTCACTTTGTTTGTCTGGTTACTTGTTTGTTTGTCTGTTTTTTAATTCATGAACTAAACAATAATTTTTTTCAATTTTATACTTTCAAAATTCAATTCTTCATCAGCACCGACTGCATATGCAGCAAAAGACCTTAGCTGAACTCAGAGGTTTACAGGGCAAAATAATAAAGAAAAAATTAGACAGTACTACTTCCGCTACTACAGATAATAATAATAATAATAATAATAATAATAATAACTGTAATAATAATAACTGTAATAATAATACCAATAATAATAATTTAGAGTTCTCAAATATTTTTGAAGCCTATGAATTGTTTCTATCCCATTCAAACATGGTCGATCAGGTGGATGTTCTAAGAATCCTAACTAAAGAAATTGACAATAACATAGAGTTATCTAAGAAATTGGACAACTTGACAGATAATATGGTTCTTATTGGGGGAATTAATAATATTATTGAGGTATTTTTTAGTTTTTTTTGTCCTAATACATTAAGTAAATAATTATTTTTGAAAACATTTTCATACAGATATTTTTTTCATATCTTTTTACTGTTAACATTATTAATTTAGTATCTTTCTTTTGTTTTAACGTTTTATTTTTTTCTATTTTAAATCTTTTTTTTTCAGAAAAAGTTTTTTGATCGGTTGAAACTCGAAAACAAAAAAATCTTCAATGTAGCCATGTCATTATCACTTGATGCATCGTTTAATGAAGATTTACTGCCAGAGCATTTAAATCTTGAAATTGATGAGATTAAATATGCTGATCTGAGAAATTTAATATTTCAAAAGTTTTCTGAAAAATCTTCAGATCAAAGTGTCTTTATTGGTCCTGAAGTTTTTTCTTGTAAAAATTTGAAATCATCTTCATCTGAGGTTATTGCTGTTTTTCTTCTGTATTTTATCAAATGTATTTTAATTAATTTCAATAATTATCATTTATAAAAAGTAACTCAACTTAATAAAATTAATACTTTCATTGATTATCACCAAAAAATTCAACAATCAAATATATTTTTTCAATCAAAGATATCTTCTAAATAACAATATCTTTCCATGTTTTCTTCTAAAGTTATATGCAGAGCAGCTAATCTTGTCTTATTTGGAATTATTAGTCAACTCGAGGAATGAATTGTCATTGGCTACAGTCATAAATGTTCCAGATCGAGATATTGACCATCAATCCTTTACACACATCAAACACGAAGCTGCCAAAAGAAACTTATCTATATATCAGGTTTCTTTTCTTTGTTTTCTTCTCTTTTTTTGGTTTTTCTCGTTTTAAAAGATTTTAGGCTTACAATTAAGTTTAGTTTGTCTCTTTAATAATTATTATGTTATTACGGTTATAATTTTTTACTTTATTTCCACACCTATGCAAAAATTGTCAACCAATCACAGACCATTCTTTCCTTCATAACTCGAATTCGATTGGGTGGAAAGAGTTATGCCCCTCCCAGTGACAATCCACTGACCAACCATATCAAAGGGTTGTCAGAATTTGTCGATGTACTGAATAAATTGCACTCTATATTGGAGGAAGATTTGAAAATGAAGTAATTTTCATAAAAGCGTTTTCAGATTGTCTTTTAAAGTCCAATTAATCTTCATAAATGAACGTTTATTCAAATAAACAAACGAATTGTTTAAAATAAATAAATAAGTTTTTCCGAAATATGAAATGAAATCTTTTTTTTCTCAGATCGGCAACAACGAGACTGGTTAACACGATTAAAAACTGCCTGCTCAGACCCTCAATTACATCAAAAACATCAGCGATTCTCAAAAAACTAACAGTAGAAAAGGCAGCCGTTGACGTCTTAACTATTTTTGATTTGCATTTGAGAAAAATTGACGTCATCAATGCCGATGACGTCACGCCCACAAGGGTGAGTTTGAAATTAATCTTTGAAACATTTCACCATTATATATTCATTTGTATATTATTGCATGCATATTTTTATTATAGCTTTTTATAATTTTAATGAATAAACTCCTATTATATTATCTGTTGTGAAGAAAGTTTTTTTAAATAAAATAAGTGAAGTTGAAACTTATAAAAAAAATATTTTTTTCAGACCATTGGAGAAGGAGCTTCACTAAATGGTCGTAGAACGTTGAGACTAATTAGGAATGTTCTAGATTTCTACTCATCACGTCATCACGTTGGTGGAAGTTACGATGAAGATGATGATAATTGTGCTGGGGCTTGTGGAGATGTAATCATAACTGATACAGTACTGACACAGACCGTTAATAATACACCTGTTAGAATGGTGCCGTCACTAGCTTCTAAATTTAGGTTTTACTTTTTTTATGGGAATCGTGTTTTACAATTTTTTGCTACGTTGGGACAGAATCTGGGAAGTGTTTTTGAGAAATTTCTGGTAATTGTGTAATAAAATCGTGTAATAATAATATCCAATGCTTTTCAGTTGAATAGGTAGCTATACGTTTTAAATGATTTGGTTTATAGAATAAGATACGTTATATCCAACTTAATAAATTAACATCTTTCTCAAACGTATCAACCCCTTTATATTTTCATAAAATTTTATTTTTATTTTGTCTCTTTAAACCCTGAGAACTCCAGATGAAAGCGGAACAATCCCAAAGAAGAGAAAGCTCCAGGAGAGGATCAATCAGACGAAAAGTATTAATACCGGCTCTCTTACCTATTATTACTTTAAAAGACTTTTTTAATAATTTGGTGTTAGAAATACTTCAATACCTCGCTAAAATATTCATCATTCCAGACTTCCTCGTAATTATACCTTTTTAATTCATAAATATAACAACACGTACTGGATGTAAAGACCAAAACTTTAAATTTTTATCATAGCATAAAATAAACGCACTTAATTTTCCATTCAGGGGTTCTTTGTTGAAAGAAAATGTAAAATGGGAGGTAATTCGCATACCAAAAAACGTTCCACTCTATTAATTTGAACTGAAAAGTGAATTAAATTTTGTTATAAATATGTAACTTGTAACTAATCACTAACCATGTCATTTAAAAATAATTTTACTGACTAATACCATATTTTTCAGCAGTTTCCACATGTCTTCATCACAATCCCATCTTGTAGCTAGCTCTTCAAGCCAAGATTCACCAACTCATAACAGATTAACACCAATTAAACCGCCAAAAAAGTTGAAGTTAGATGAACCGTGTAATAATAAAAAACCTGAAAAAAGTAAATCTAAGAAAGGATCAAGTGCAGGAGTTAAGAGACAAATACAAGGCCAAGCGAAATTGAGTTTATTTTTCAGATGAAGTTTATTTTTCAGATGAAGATAATATCGATCTCACCTCATGTGTTTTTACTTAATGTGTGTTTTGATTGATTTTTGAATTAAATAAAGTTTAAAATCTGCTGATAGAACCGCATACTTTTAATTAAACTTACTTTTAATTGTATTTGAAGTGCCGTAATTAAATTTAGTTTTTTTAGATTATACTCATTCTAACTGTTATTAAATGTGTTTTTGCTTACTCATTGAATGAAATGTTCGAAATCTATTTGATTAAAGAACTGTACATCTTTAAACTGTTCAAGTGAGATTTGGGTTATTATATTTTTTTCTTTAATTTATATGAAAGACAAGATGGTTTGGTTTATGTACTTTTTAGTTTATCAACTGTTTACTTCACATTTCATATAATTAAGAATCAAATAAAGCATTCAAATATGAAACTAAAGTAGCAACGTGACATAGTCTTTGTTAAATATAAATAAAACCTACAATAAACGATAAAACAGTCTTAATCTTAATTTGTCAAATTCAAATATATATCAATATCAATCACATTACAGATAGATAAAATATACTTGCACATTACTGCACACGCTCAAAAGCATTCTTTCTAGAACATTCAACTCTTCTGTCCGCCTTCAAAAAACATTACACTCAAAGCAGAGAACCATTGTTTAACAATACATTCAAGCGCAGCAGTGGTTTAATGGCTTCTTCGATTCTAACCACCGAAACCGTACAAAGTGCGGCCCTGGCGTTTCAGGGCGTAAACCACGTCCATGGCCGTAACAGTCTTTCTCTTGGCATGCTCGGTGTAGGTCACAGCATCACGGATGACGTTCTCGAGGAAAACCTTAAGGACGCCCCTCGTCTCTTCGTAGATCAAACCGGAAATACGTTTCACGCCACCTCTGCGTGCCAGACGACGAATGGCTGGTTTTGTAATTCCCTGGATGTTGTCTCTCAAGACTTTACGATGACGTTTGGCTCCTCCTTTTCCCAAACCTTTGCCTCCTTTTCCGCGTCCGGACATTTTTTCTAGCTAGAGCTTTAGAACGATAAATAAATAAAAACTGATTTAAAAACAGCTTTTCTAAATTTTAAGAGAGAAACTCGACACGAACCGTAATAACTTCAGACAAAGAATGGCAAACTAACCAACCACTCCTATGTTAAATAGCGTATAAAAACTATAAATAAGCAATGGTCCCGAAAGCGCACTTCGTCTCAACAAATTTCCAACACAAATTATATATATATATATATATGTGGATATATATATATATTTATAACACAACGAAAAGTTTGTCAGTTTTGCCTCAAATATCATGCAATTATTAACAATAAACCTAGAAAATTTTTAACGTGTGAAACACTAGCGCGTGATAAAGTTAAATCAACGAGAGCAGTGAGAAATTTTAAAACTAATATTGATGAAATAAAAAACACGTTTTGTACAATTCAAATTAGTTTAACAGAAAAAATATGAAAAACAAGAATTATTAGTTAATAAATCATCCAATCATTATACTAATTAATCATCCCAATCACATATCAATCAATCAATTATCATTCAACCAATCTACTCAATCAATCATTCCGATCAAACGATCAATTATATCAATCAATCAATTACAATAGGCACTTTAGTTTCAACATCATATATATTCATTAGCTCTAGCCCAACTTCTTTCAACTCTTTCAATGTAACACCATTGCAAAAAGCCTGCAGAAAATTTTGAAATAAAAATAAATGAAAAAATATAAACCAAATAGCTAAAACAACAAACAAATATAAAAATATAATTGACGATCAATTAAAAATAATTCTGATAAAAAACTTTTTGAAACAAAATTTTCACAAATTTCTGACAAAATTGTTTCCAAACCTCCCACCACTGAGTCTCTGCTTGATCATTATAGGGAACGTTAACATTGAAAACCCTCAAAACCGTATATATTATCGATAAGGCAACAATGTTCGGTTTATAAGCTAGGGAAATTTTTTCACTGTGGTAGCTATCCATCAAGAGAGCCCAACAAAAATGGGCTATTGGAACTGTACTTGTTGTAGACTTGTCCAGCCAATCATAGAGCCCTTTTAAATAGTGGACTAAATACTGAAAAATAAAATAAATTTTATGATTTAACAGAAAATTAAAATTTTAAAATCGAAAAATTTAAAAACCCGAAAGTAAAGGAAAATAATTTTTTTCTATTAAATTATAAAATTATTTAAAAAAATCATTTCCCCCTGACTTTGTGAGGATGGTCAACAGAAACATTAAACTTCAGAGCCCGAAGTAGATATAACTCTGTCTGTATTAAGCTATCTTTCAATGAAAAGTACTTTGAATCAACTTCTAGTAACTGATCTTTGGGATTTAAAATTCTAAAAGAAAATTTTTCAAAAGTAATAAATTATATTAAATAAATTAATTTAGGAAAAATAAACTTTTTTTTCAATTCTTTCAGTTCTCATACCAACCAAAAAAATTTGAATAAGATAAGTTGACACATTTTAAATAATAATTACAAAAGAATAAAATCTGAAACCTATGTGAGACATTTATAACATCGCGAAGTCTTAAGCTCTCCTCTTCAATTTTACCTGATAGATACAGCAATGTCGCTGCAACTGTCTGAAAAAAGTTAAATTAAATATAAATATTATTAAATAAATACAAAATATGAATAAATAAAAAAGTAAAATAATAAGATAATAATAATAGGAACCAAAACTAACATTAATGATAATTAAAATTAATAGTACACCTCAACATCTATATCTTTTGTATCGTGGGAGCTGTTAAATCTATGGAATAGAGTGACTGATGTTGCTAATGCTACAGATGACATACGTAATTTTGTACCTGAAAAATTACATTTTATAATTACAATAAATTATAAATAAATATGACATAAACCCCAAATCAGATAAAAAAAATTCTTATTGAAAAATAAATTATGAAAAAAAAAATCAATCGGGAATTACAGTTACCAGCTTCGAACATGAATCTCACTACATCAAAACTTTTTTTAATTTCTCTCCATTTTTGGGAATCTTCGTTATTATTGTTCATTTTTGCCATATCTATGATATTAGTCCTGGTATGCTGCTCTAGTGGAACTGTAGGAAATAATTACAAGAGTCAGATGGTAGTAAATCTTCAGGTTAAGCTAAGAATAGAATATATTCAACAGCCAGATTCATCTTCAAATGAATTTTCATTTTCAAGTAGAGTAGAAATCAAATCAATCAATTAGTTTGTAAGGCGCTATTTCCACGATGTCTATCAGCATCACTCAGTGAATTTCATTAACAGATGGGTCTTGAAATCCGCTCTGAACTTCTTATCTTAATGATGGAGAAGTAGTCAGACAGAGACTTCAAGAGAAAAGGAGCAGAAAAAGAATTAAAATTTAGAAAATAGAATAAACAAAAGAAATAAATACAAAATACTAAATACAAATTAAAAAACGCAAAACTTTTAAACTAAAAACTAACATATGACGCTTCGAAGTAAATGGATCGAATCCTATATTTAAAATTTAACAAAGCATATTATCGTTCGGCGCCATCACTTTTATATAACATAGATAAAAAAACAAATATTAGTAATCAGCTGATCATTCATAATCAGTTTACTTTTAAATTAATTATTTATCGCTCTAGCGCTTTATCGACTTGTTTTTTAAATTAGCTAAAAAGATGTATTCATCAACAATTATCAAGTCAAATATTATAAGTTTAACATTTTTTAATTCAATTTTTTACAAACGTTATTTTAGTTCATTAAAAATTATTAATATTCCATCGTTACGACATTGTCAACAAAACCGAAACAACAAAAAAAATATTAGTGAAAAAATCGTTGAAAGATCTCTAAAAACTACCCCGCATGCATTTAATATTAGGCAAAAGAGTGTGGAAAAACGTTTTTTAGTCCAAAAACTTGGGAACAGATCATTGGTAAAGTTGTCTGGATTGGATGTTGTAACATTCTTGCAGGGTTTAGTCACCAATGACGTTAAATTGCTAGAGCAGTCGTCAAGGAAATACGCTTCTATGTATTGCATGATGCTGAATCCACAAGTTAGAAATTAGTAATTGGTGTTTTCAATTTGCCAGAAATTAGATTAGTGATTAGTCTGAAAGATTAAACATTAAAATTTAAAAATGATGTAAGACTTACTTGCTTAAGTTGTAAACTCATAAATTAGGAATTAGTGATTAATGTGATTTTTTTTCATAACTGAATTATATTTTTATAAAATTTATTTATAAATTTTTTTATTCAGGGAAGAGTTTTGTATGACTTGTTGCTCTATAAAATTGATGCCCTTTTCAAAGAAGAATCGTCCATATTAATTGAATGTGACAATGTTATCAGAGAAGATTTAGTGAACATTTTGAAAAAGTATAAATTAAGGAAAAAGGTTTTTGATCAAACATTAGACATAAAATTATTTATAAATATTTCAAATAATTATTTTATTTCAAGATTTCAATATCCTTATTTGATGATTTTTCTGTTTGGGGTGTAATTCCAAAAGTTGTGCAAACTCAGGCAGAGGATAGCAGTAAAGATTTTGATTACACAAACGACCAAAATCTTTTCTTTCTCTCTCATGATCCAAGAATTAATTCATTTGGCTATAGATTGATATATCCATCAAATCTAGATGGTATTTTATCTATGTTACTTTATTTTTTCTATGTTTTTTTCTTTTCCTATGTTTTTTTTTAGTTTTCTCAAATGATTTTCAGATTCTATCAAATAGTTACACATTCAATCAATCAATAAACCTTCGTTTTGCGTCCAGAGACCCGGTTCCCTGAGGTAGGACGTAAATAGTTACACATTGATATATATAAGGAAAAATGTTATCCCTTCACATTACCATCAACACTCAGTTTTATTGCCTCAATCTTAATAATCTCTATAAATCTTTTGCTTTAATTATCAAATTTAATTTAAATTTAAAAAATTTATTAGCATAGATAAATAAACTTCTATATAAAATTTTTTTCAACTTTTAAGCAACCAATTTTTTGGAAAATTGTGAACTTACCAAAGATGCATATGACAATAGATGCCTAGAATTAGGTGTAAGTGAAGGTGTCCGAGACCTCCCACCAAATAATTGCTTTCCTCTTGAAGCAAATCTTGTTTTTCTCAATGGAGGTTTGTTTAAAATTTCTGTTTCTTGCTTTATCAAATAATTTGTCAAAGGTATCAATAACAACAAACAAGCAGACAGTGCATGTAAATACAACTCATCACCACAACTTATCACGCACATTTCTTGAATGTGATGGGCCGGGATTTATTTGCAATCGAATCCCGTCACTTCAGTAGCAGAGCCAGGCAATTTAGCGTTACACCATTGCACCACCCATCTATTTATCTTTTTTTTTATCATATCCTTGGTTTGGTTTATTCATATTTTTCAAAATTTTTTCTATCTATTTATTCATGATTAAATTTCGTTAGAATGGTTGTTTTTTTGTTCATCTATATGTTCATCAAAAACATAACATCTAGATGTTATGTTTTTCGTTTTGTATTTTTGTAATCATAAATTGGTTTTTAATTCTTAATAAATTGAACACTTTTTCATAATTTAAATTTACTTTCAGTTAGTTTCAGTAAGGGGTGCTATGTGGGACAGGAGCTGACGGCCCGCACGCACCACACGGGGGTCATCCGAAAGAGACTCATGCCTCTTGTTGCACGGTTCGCCGTTCAGGCTTAATTAATTATTTTTCTTTCTTATATATCATCTCTCACTTATTCAGACTTTAATTAACATTTCTAATCTTATTACGCAATTACAAATCATTTTAATTAGACGTAATTGTGTTAATTATGTTTTATTCATAGTTTTTATAGTTAAATGTAACTGATCAATAGTTATAAAATAAATCAATAACATATTTACCTACAAATTATTAACGTGCTATAGATTAGTTAGATAGCCGTAGATTTCACGATATTTTTACGAAGATAAATAAGAATTTTAATGAATAACTATAATTCTATCGATTATATTTCACAATTAATTATTCACATTAATAATAATAGATGCTAATTTTTTTCCTAAAGCTTCGATGACGAAACCAAAGAACTAAAAGCAGAACAACAGCCGACCGCGATTTTTTCCGAAACTTCCAAAAAAGAATGCGGAAAAGTTAGAAACTGGAAAGGGCAGAGAGGATTAGGGTTACTGAGATTAGCGGAATGTTTACTGGCGGAAAAGGATTCGTTAATTTTGAGAGGGAAAAATGGCGACAATCTTGGCAAAGTTGAAACTTCTATACCATACTGGTGGCCCAAGGAAGATGATGAGATTATAAAACAGATTTTGAATAAAATTGAGAATAAATAATTTAGCTCTTTTCTATCTTTTAATTTATTTTGTTTTCATTTGTTAAAGATAATGTGACTGTAATGTGTCCTTTTCAAACTGCAATGTATTTATTTCGTCATCGTCTTAGGCTAATGTTTGTAGGAAATTGTTTTATTTATTTAAATACTTGATAAACACAATATAGTAACATCAAAATTCAGGCTTAAGTCTTTCCAAATTCTCAATATTTATCTAAATTTAATGGCCGGGACGTCGGGTTTTGAATTGACGACTGTTGGTTCGAATTCAAGTAAATCTCGATCGTACGTAAGGCGCTGATACCTTGGTTGGTTGAATGATGCGGTTGTCTATTACAATAGTTGATTGGTTGGTTGATTGATTGATTGACTGATTGATTGATTGATTGATGATTTCAAAAAAAGTTTCAAAACGTTCTAATTTTCTTGTTAAAATTCACAAATAGTAAATAAATTAAAACAAAATAATAAAATACATATCTGATAGATTTGAAATAGAATAATTCATGAACTCCCGAACGCCTAAAACTAAAATGGACCAAAATTCCACATTTTAATTCATAAAGTCCATAAAAATGAGAATTTCGTGCACTTTTATAGTTTTGCTCCCCTTAATGAAGGGCGTTTGATCACTGCAGAAACTTGCGTTTAGGTGCAGATCACCAAAAACATCACATTGTATCGGGACCTGTAGTTCGGTTATTCCTAGGGGCTCTATGTCTCTACATTTTAGGTGATTTTTTCAATTTTGTGAGTATATTTATTGTAACATCTTGTTAACATGACTTTTAGGCATTTTTTCTATTTAATCAGTTTTCGGTTGAGAGTTTTGTTGAATGGCTAATTTAATTTCATTTGATTCAATCTTAAATCTCGAGTTATATCAGGTTTTGTTCATCACAATAACCAGTCAGTTATTCAACCAATCAATCAATCAAATCAACTTATCAACCAACTTGTTGTTTAATCACTCGTGTCAACTAACTGAATCTTGAATCTTGTGAATTCGACCAGACCTTGTCCTTCTATCATCCAAGTACAGTTTCTCAAGTCAATCGGCAGGGGATTTCCCCATTTTAGAATGGCCATTATCTTCTGGTTCACTACTATTTTTGGCTCCGGGCTCTAAGCGATTTATAACATGTCTAATAATAAGTTAACCGGTAACAATTCCGTAGCGTAATACCAAAAATACAAATTAATTTGAGTTAAAAACCGATTAATAATAATTAAAATATAAATTTCGATTATTTATATCAATACAGGCTAAAAACAGCAAAAAAATACCCATTAAAAAAGGTAAAATAATGTACCAAATAAAATATCGACAATGAAATACCGATACCGACCAAGTAATCGTAACTAACGATAATTTCGAATTCGATATCTGGAAAGGTAAGGCAGTAATCCTCTGTTGTACAGAATATCTGACTCGTCAGAGGTACACTGGCCATGGCATATACTCGCAGGGTGTAATAATCGGACATGTACCAACAGTATTGCTCGGGTATTGCCTGTAACATTACCCTCTGCTCTGTGATTTCATTGGTTGATTGTTGGTTGGTAGTGAGTGGGCCCGAGTGAATGAGTTATTGAAGGGATAATGAATGGATGGATGGATGAGCGAAAGAAAAAACGAACGAACGAATGAATGAATGAATATATGTATGGTAGGCATATAAATGACACGTATGGTTAAGCTATTGGTTGTATTGTAGGCCTTATCTTAGTACTATTGTTAACCACGCTAAATACGTAATAAACTTAATTTGATTTAAAAAAAACGACATTACATTGTAAAAACATTTATAAAAAACAAAGAACCAAATCAAAGAAAAAAAAATTTACTAACTGGCCAAAGATTCCAACTGCACATTAAAACTCAAAGTCTTAATCTTATGCTTCGAGAGACCCGTGTAATAGATGGAGTACAGCGTCAGAGTTATTTTTATGTTTCGCTTCTCAGTGCCCAAATTCTGCATGGCCAGCATGATGCTGATGACTTTTCCAGCCACATTATCACCCAGACATACTGTGAATTTAACGTCCTGTAGAGGAAAGAATGGATGAGTGAGTGAATGAATGAATGAGTCCTGTGAATGAGTGAACTGGTGAGTAAATAAGTGAAGGAATGAACGAATGAATGAATGAATGAATGAATGGATGAATGGATAAATGAATGAATGAATGAATGAATGAATAAATGAATAAATGAATAAATGAATAAATGAATAAATGAATAAATGAATAAATGAATAAATGAATGAATGAATGAATGAATGAATGAATGAATGAATAAATGAATGAATGAATGATTAACTCACTCCATCACCAGCATCAAATACATTCCACGCCACAGATTTTGTATCGGCCCTCTCTAACGCAATTCTCTCCAAAACTGTTCCTGAAATTATGACGTAAAAAACAACAATAATAATAATAATAAATAATAATAATAAATAACAATAATAAATAACAATAATAATAATAAATAATATTAATAAACCCTGTTTGAATTTATAATTCTCCAAAATGTCCATGGCTTCCAACTTGATCTCTTGGATGTCGGGCGAGCATAAATCTTTCTCTGTCACTCGCTTGGGGTTTGGATCGTGCGTGATTATTTTGGTCCCAGCTCTGAATGTCGGTGATTGAGTGAATGAATGAATGGATGAATGAATGAATGAATGGGTGAATGAATGAATGAACAAATAAATAAAAAAAAATAATAAAAAAAAAAATCTGAC